AGGCCAATCTGATGGAGGTGTTTTCTCAGCTGAGGTCCCCTCTTCTCAGAAAATTTATACTTGTGTCAAGTTGACAAAAACTAAACACTAAATATTCTTAAATAAATCATTTATTTTTATCTTTTTAAATATTATTCTCTAAACATAATATGCCCTTTAAAGGAGTGAAACAAAATTCTTTGCTTACATTTGCTCCACAGACTCCTCCTATAAAGGATATATAAATATAAATATATATGATATACATCAGTATTTGCAGTAGTGGCTTATGACCATCATGGAAATCAATAGCAACACTGTGTCAGTTTTTTATAATAAATGTTTTTTAGTTAAAAACTAACTAAATAAATACAAAAATGATTCTCTAAACCCAAATAACTCCTTAAGAACTGTAGTTTGTTCAAAACATTGATTTAATAAAGCCATTGAGAAGTCATTGTTCTAGCCTGCTTTCTGTTGCGGTGGTACACACCATGACAGAAGCACCACGGGAAGGAAAGGTGTTTAACTTTGTCCATAACTGAGGGAAACAAGGAAGGAGTGCAGCCAGGAACCCGGGGCAGGAACTTCAGCAGGGACCCCAGAGAACACTATCTACAGGATTGTTCAGCCAAGGACTCTTTGCTCAAGGGTAGAACCACCCACAATGGGATAGGGTGTGCTATATCAATTATCAATAAAGAAACTGCCTCCAGAGACGTGCCCCAAAGGCCTGGTTCATGAAAAAAATTCCTCAGCCAAGTCCACTCTTCCCAACCAGCATATACATACATGCTAAATCCACTATTGCTTGGGTATTACTTCAGTAAAACCTTCATTTAAATATCAAAAAATATGAACAATGAAGAAAGACACAACCTGCTTTTTCTCTGATTTTTAACTTCTGCTGCTTTTGAATTTTCCTCCTAATTTTTTTTGGAAGGCTAGCTTCCTTCTACCAATCTACTTTAATCCTCCACCTTAGATAAGGACTCTTGACCTCACAACTCAAGCACAGAGTCAGCCACTTTCATTTCACTCTTCCCTCCCTTCATCCCATGAACTTTAACAGAATAGCCATGCACAGTTCTTATGTGTAAAATACTACCTTAGGACGACTGCATTTAATGTACATGGAACAGGTTTCTTTTAGGAATGTGGGGAAACACTTCATACTCTCTGTTCTGATGACTAAATTGGTAGCAGGAGCTGGTCAGTTCATTCAAGTGGACCAGCTGAAGTTTCCAAAGTCCAGTTTTGAATGACAATTTCAGTAATATTTAGTAAAAAGTATTTAAAACACTGAGAAAACTAATGTTTTCTTGTGTATCAAAGAAAATCTGTATCTTCAAAAATCAACAGTGCTATTAAACTGGTCCAATGCTTTCCTACAGATTTTAACCCAACATTTTTGAGGCTTTCTACTAAAGCAGTATGGATTAATTATCGATTATAGCCTTGAAAAGGTAGAAAGATGAAACTATAGACCTGGAGTCAATTGTCCTTGTTGACATCATTTGTAAAATCCCATTTAGAAGATTAGGAAGTGAAACACAGGAAGTAAAGAGCCTGCACGGGACAGATGACAGCTCATGGCAGGGCTGATAATGGAAGCCCAGCGTTCTGTTTCCTAGCTTAGTAATCTTTCTGCCACACAACAGTGATGAAACCAGTAACAATAAACATTTATTAGGGCCACTTATATACTAGACTTAATGCCAGAAAACATTAGGATTAGTACCTTAGAATATTGACAAATTATCTCTTTTCCTCACAATTGCCCTATCAGATAATTCTACATTCTATAATAGCATCAGAATGTGAAGCCAGATTCGTTATATTGTGAAGATAGGCTGTATTATATAGTCACATAACTGGACACATTGTATCTGGAGGAGACAATGGCTTCACAGCTCTCCTCAGGCTGTAGCTGTTCTCAACACAGCTGTTACTCTGGGCAATTATTTCTCTAAACTTTACTTTCCTAGTTCCTCATCTGTAATAAGAAACATAACATTCCTCGCAGAGTTGTTATTATTAGGGTGAAATGAAAGAATGTATTAAAACAGGACCATTCTTGGTGAAGTACCCAGTGACAGTTACAGTTTTTTTTTTTTAAATAGCTATTGTACTTAACTACTTGCAGTTTTGGTTTTCTAACACATTTCCTCAAAGTACTAGACTAACTTTTCAAAAAACATGATCATGTAAAGTATATACTACACTAGTAGTACTTGGCTATAATCAAGAATTGCTGTATTTGGATCACGTAAGGGTCTGCACCCATGGAGTACTCTGCAGTGACTAGCTCCAGAGGGTTTTCTACACAAACACAGGCCCATGACCTTTTCTCTATTTCTCCACTGTGATTGGGTCCTACACCCTACCTCCAACCCATGAAAGAAACACCTTAATCTCTCCTTATTCTTTATTCAAAGAAGATATTATCATCTAAATATGTATCTTTGATTTCAGCTCTTATAATCTAGAATACAAATTTGGAAAAAAAGACATAGACATATGATTTAGAAATATACTAATAAAATAGATTAAGTCAAACCTATTTCTATATTTTTGAAAAAGTAAAACCCATCATTGGCAGTTCCCATTTGTTACTATGGACTATTTGCTTGCTGTGTGTGTGTGTGTTTGTGTGCAGAAATTCACAGCAATCCTTATGCATACACATGCACTCACAGCATACCCATAGGAGCTTGAAGTAAAGAGTGCTGATGTGTTATTCTCCTCTGTAGGCTATAAATATGTTTTATTGCCATTGGTTAATAAAGAAGCTGCTTTTGGCCAATGGCTTAGCAGAATATAGCTAGGCTGGAAAAGATATATAAAGAGAGTAGGTGGAGTCACAGAGAAGACATGTAGCCACCGCAGGAGACAGACGTCTGATGCCAGTCAGAATCTTACCAGTAGGCCACAACCATGTGACAACACACAGATCAATAAAAATGGGTTAATTTAAGATGTAAAAGCTAACTACAAATACGCTTAACCTATTGGCCAAACAGCATTGCAATTAATACAGTTTCTATATGACTATTTCAGGTCTGGGAAGCCTGGAATGAACAAGCACTGCATACAGAATATGAGCTGTGATTTTGGCTATCTACAGTGCAAGTTTGGGAAGATGCTAGAGATGTTCCTATCAGCTCCTGCCTGTCCCTATTCTCCCGTCTTTCCCATTTATCCCTTAGCAGCGCCAGTGAAGATGCCTACCTACATAAGAGATTGTAGTTAAGTGACTTTAAGGAAGTGATGGGAATTAAGATTTGCTATTCTAATCTGTACCAAGTTCCAACCAATGCTAATTAGAACTGTAAAGAGGCATCAGTTAATTAGGCAGAAGTCCTCAGATCATAAGGTAAGTCCTGAGCTCTCCAGTGCCTTGAAGTACCTATTACATCACAGGAACTCATGATGAGAATGTTTGAAGAAGGAAGACAGTAGTTGCCAGTTAATGATAACAAATAAATAGTAGACCTATTTTGATAGCATTTACTAATACCCACAGTATAAATACTCAGCAAGGTTGATTTAAATTGCCAGTGGTTTAATAGATCTTTAGAGGTGAATATTTGGCCTTCAGATGCTTAGTATGAGCTGCCAGCTCAATACTATTTGACAGAGGACTACAAGAGAGACCAGGAAGCAGTCTTGGAAAGAGCCTGTTCCACACCCTTGGCCTGAGTCTTCATCCTTAACCTCGCCATCTGTTTTCCAGTAATGTGCTGTGTAAAATGGTTGTGATATTTCATCTTTATCATCAACTTGAATGGACGTGGAATCACCTGGTCACCTGAAAGACACACCTCTGGGTGTTACTGTGAGGACATTCCAGAGATTTAACTGAGAAAGGAAGATTCACCTGAATAGGAGAGGTACCATCCCAAGGCTAGAGTGGGATTTCAAAAATAAAAAGGGAAAAAGAAGAAAAGGGGAAGGGAGAAAGTACATGGAGTACCAGCATCCATCTCTGTGCTTTGACTGGGAACTCTGTGCTTTGGCAGCCTCATGTCTGGGCTGCCAAGCCATGGTTGTTGTGGACTGACTGTATGTATCCCCTCAAGTGATGAGCCTGAAGCCCTTCCTTTCCTAAGTTGTGTTTGTTGTATCAACAAGAAAATAGTTAGCTCAATGGCTTCTCTAATGAGAAGAATTAACCAGCCTGACTTTCAGACAGGTCAGTTCTCCAGATGTCTCACTGTTGGCTGCCATCTGTTACGTGTCAAATTCTCATGTGCTTGCTAGGTTCTTCTTCAAGTCTTGACTCAAAGGCCTAGATACTCATTCTCTGGTTTGCTGCCAAATCTCCACCTCTATATTAGGAAGAGGGTCTCTCACATTGTGTTTGGTTTCATTTCCACTGGCTCTCATTATTCAATGTTCACACATCTTAACTCTGAACAGCTCATGTTCCTAGACACAAAGACTTTCAGAAGTTCTATATGGCTATAATAATATGTGGTTATGATTACATGATAATATGTAAATGCTGTCCATTTATAAGGAAGACATGGGACTGTGACTAATCAATACCATTTTCATAAAAGTACACATGTCTTAAAAGTATTCTACACTTTGGTAAGTCTTTCTTGATTGCATGTAAGCTTATTCAATTGTAGTGAGATGAACAATAAACAATAAACCTTTTATTCTTCTTTTCTTAAGCAACTGTACTAAGCCTACCTATGGGCCGTTACCAATAAAAACTGCTATGATTCCCAAACACTAGACATTGTACAAGCCAAGAAAGAGCCCATGTCATTAAAGTATTGAGAAAAATGATGAAATATTCAGAGGCACGAAGAGAATACTAAGGGTAAATATTTATACATTTTCCCAACAGTTTTAAAAGCTCAAGTCAGTTGCAGACATGTATTTACCGTACTCTGTGGAGAAGAGGAAGCATGTCTGATCCGCTAGTTCCTGTTTGATCATCCTGAAACTTGAACTAACCCTACACCTAGCCGTGCGAGCGACCCTCAAGGATATCCCAAGGCTCTTACCTGCACACTTGTAGTCAGGGGCCACACCTTTAAGCACAGCGTCAAAGATGGACATTTCCACTCTCTGTTTCCTGTGATGACAACTCAGAAGCAAGGAAGGCTGGGATACAATTAAGTAGAGAAATGGATGAAGTTCTAAGTCACCTGTTCCTCTTCGGCCAGGTTGCCTAACAACAGTGACACCGAGTGCTTGTCTAGCAGATGACCGTGTAGACGCATGGAGGCTTTCAAGGGAGAGAACCCTTACTTTTTTTCCTGAAGGAAAAAAATTGCTACTGCTTAAGAGATCTTCAGCAGTCACCATGGAGATGCATGCCTGGTTAGGTTTAACTACGTCAGCATCAACTTCTGGGAGGTTTGAGGAATTCTTGCCTGCTGTCCCATCCTCCTTCTCTTCCGGTACTGTGGACTTGGGTAAGGGCACCGAGGAATAGGTCATTAGTGAGATCCTACTGGCCGTAATAAATATGTCGAAGGGAATAAAGTTGAGGTTTTTCACGATGGAGGACTGGTGGGAGGGTCGGGCTATGCGGTGCTGACTGGCGCCGCTGCACTGCTCTATTTGCACAATCTGGATTTTAACGCTGTCACTGCCGATTCCGCTGTCCTGAGCACCGCTGTACCGGGAAGAAGTTTCAGCTACGCCTCCATCAAATGTATCCATTTTCTTCTGTTCTTGTTTAGAGATCTTTAAGAAAAAACAAGCAGATATGTCAAAGTAGTTATGCATCAAGTGTCACTATATGAACAATGTTATTTAAATAAGCTATTTAAAGGAACATAAAATGAACCTAGTACATCTCAACGCCATAACAACTACAAAAGCTATGTGGAAGTTCCCCACCCACAGAATCATCTCATAATCTAAGGGAGTTCTTTTCGTGTGTGTGTGTGTGTGTGCAGAAATTCACAGCAATCCTTATGCCTCAGTTTCCCAACAGTCAAGATGCCTGAAACCAATGCCAAGAAATTCTTGAGAACAGATATCAAACTTCCTTCATTAAAATGTACTTCTGAGTATCACTATTTTTCACTTTATATTAATACAAATCAGCCTTTAAAATGCTACTCCAAATAATTACTTTAGTAATCTTAAAATAATTTCCCAAATAATATAATAAATGATTCCAGCCTTCAATCAGAGTTATTGTTGGTAAACATAAATTCCACATGGCTGCAGATTCTACTGTGCTTTTCATCCTTATTATAAAACTAGTTTATAGGATTTTGAACAATAAAAAAAGGAAAATACAAGAAGTTCAGACTTTGAAGGGCAAAGATCAGATTAAAATAAGTGCATGACATTGAAAAAGATGTTAATTTATCTTTTTCTACAACAGGACTTGGGAGGAGGGAAAGGTGAATCAACAACTCAGTAATGAAGGCCTCTGAAGGCAGGTTTTCCCATCAATGACTCCCTGTGGAGAAGGAAGGACAAGTTGGTGGCAGCAGATGGGTAGAGTCCTCTGAGGGCTTCAGCTTCTCCTTCCAGGATCTCCTAACAATCTATTGGGCATTGGGTGTTTCATTTGCTTCCCTTTGAAGTGATACAGATTAATCCATATAAACATGGAGAATCCATAGAAATAAGGAAAGGAAAACAAACCTTCCCTAGTCCCACTGCATTAGCAAGTATTAGCAAGTATCATCAACAGGATAACATATTCAGTATTTTTTTCTGCTGCTCAGGCCCTTTTGTGATTATAATTATATTGAAGAGACAAATTTGAAACCCATTTCTAGACAAGATATTATCCTTGTAAGTTGCTTTGTTTCTGTGGCAGGGTCTTGCCATGTAGCCCACACATGCTCTGAGTTCTCTAGAGCCAAGCAGGCCCCCCCCACACACACACAGTCACAGTCTCTTTCTCGCTCTCTTGTCTCTCCTGCCTTAGCCTCATTCTCGAGCACCACTTTAAAAGAGCCTGTAAAGAGCTGCACACAGATGATTTAATGCTAGGAGTAATTTTTCAACAATTTCTATGTAATTAGAAGTTTGAACTTTTAATTTTTGCCAATAAGCATCCGTGTGAAATGATAAGAACTTTCAGGATAGGCTCTCAGGAGTGAAGCCACAAGGTAAGCAGCACAAAAACCTGTGAAGTCACTGAGTATGTCCAACCTTTCCAGAAGGACTGCATCAGGATCCACAGCAGTGGTAACGGAGAAATGGCCCTAAGGCTCAGTATAACGGCTGAGTGTTATCTATCAGTCTTTAAATTCCAATTTGACTGGTTAAAAAATATTTTGTCAAATGCTTCAGATTGCTGTAAGCTGACTGCCGAAGACTCTTCCCTAAAGTGTTAAATAACAGATAACAAAGATAATGAGGGAACACTTTTGAAAGGTTTGCCAACAACATTTATCTCAACTCTAGTGAACTGAGAAGCACACAATGTTATCTATTTGAAACTAAACAGTGTATCCCTAGTCTCAGAGGGAGCCATGTTTCCTGAGGTCACTCTACCTATTTGGTGCTCTTGCCCTGACCGCACCCCTGGCCATAGCTGGCAAAGGGTCAGCCATCAAATCTTGCCCTTCTTGGTGATCTTAGTACATCATACAATTCTCCTACAGCATAAATGGTATCATGCTAAAATGTGCTGTGATATTAAATCAGATAGTTTTAGAACAATATGGTTAGATGGTGGACTGCATGTAAACCAGAGTTCCCACAACTGCAATGCATTTCTTGCATTCTTGTGACACAGGGGAAAGGAGACAACTGTGGTCAGTTTTCATTGTACTGTGTTCCGTGTCCTTATTTTAGTGTGCACTCCTACTTACAAAAGGTTTGTAGCAAACAATACACTTTTCACTTTTGTGCCTACAGCAGCACAAAATATATACTGTACTTACTACTTTTCTTGATTGCATTATTTCTCCTATGTTGGTTAACTATGCTCCCCAAACAATGGGCTATCACACACACATATAAACACACATTCACACTACAGGTACAGCAGCATATCCCATGACGCTGGCTATGCATTAATACTCCACATTCCTACAACTGTGAGAGTGTCTAACGGTGCTCATATTCCTCAGAGATCTTATAAGTAATAGTGGGGCATAGCTCTGTATGGGCACTGGAGTCAGACAAACCTGAGACCAAGTCCAACACTCTCTAATTACAGGACTTTGGACAAAATTGCAAACCTCTGTGTTGACAGAGGCTGCTCATTTGTTTCCTGACCATCCAGACCCGAAATAATCACATAGAAACCATATTAATTAAAACACTGCTTGGCCTATTAGCTCGGGCTTCTTATTAACTAACTCTTACATCTTAAATTAACCCATTTCTATTATTTTATGTTTTACCATGAGGCTTGTGGTTTACTGGTAAGGCTGCAGCTACATGGTGTCTCTCTGACTCTGCCTTCTTTTCTCCTCTATCTATGCTTGGAATTCCACCTTGATCTATTCACAGCATGCAGAGGGGAATCCCACATCACCTCTGTAAGGATATGCATAAAATAGAGTTAATTATTCCTCACAGAGTTGGTACGGGGATTTGGGAATGCAGTCTATCTCATAAAGTATCAGTGCCTGGAACATAGGAAATCCCCTAACTTAGGCAGCTGCTATATCTAGGTCTGTAGCTTTTATCAGGTGAAGAACTTAGATGATATGATCTCTATTGCTGCATAAGTAGGAATATGTCCTCAACACACTGAAGAAGATCCATTAAGCATGCAGTGAAAATTGTTCTTCCTATACTAGTAATTGAAAACAAACCACATAGCAGACTGAATTTACAACTGTTAAGACACAAACACACGTGTGGGAAGACTCCAGTGCTGAGCTCTGAAAGCCTTTCATAAACTCATTCACGAGCCTGTGGGACTCTGCACCCTGCACACTGTGAGCTCAGCACACGACAAGCAGTCCTCTTAGTCTCTGGAGGGATTTCCTGTTGCACTGGAGCATTAATGTGCGAGACTGACGGAGCACTCGGTACGGTGACTGACGGAGCACCCAGTAGGGTGACTGACGGAGCACCCAGTGGGGTGAGGTACTGATTATAAGAATAAAGAACTTTATACAGGGTAAGTGAAACAACCTCCTCTTTATAAAAATGTCTAAAATTCTTCCGTGTCCAGCTTAGCTTTCTCCCTTCCCTTCCATGCTGCTTACCTTCTCACACTATATAATGTCTCAGAGAGTGGGAACAACTGTGTTCATTGTTTGCTACATATTGTTACATATTATATACACTGGATTCTCTAAATGCTTCATCTTTTGAAGAGAAAATATTGCTATTCCATTTTACAGCTGAACAAACTGAGGCTAAAGGAGGTTACTCAATAGGTCATTGAGGAGAAGGCTGGCAGTTTGAAGGTAAAAAGAAACCTTGTTAGTATTTTTGGAATATGTGAACAAAAAGACTTAATTTAGAAACTATGTAAAAATGAAGTCACTTGTTTTCAAGACAATATTCATTTTCAAGCATTTTGTCACTACGTCAAAATTTTCAAATATACCTCCAGATACATCGCCAACTACAAAATTTCAAATAACATTTGAAAAAGCAATACAAGTACTTCAGTAACAAGGATTACTGCCCGCATTTTGAGGCAGTGTAAACTAAGTTTTATACAGTTTAGGTAAATCTGCAGATTGGGCTCTATGGCAAACCCCAACCAAAAGCTCACGTCTCCTAAGCAGTTTTTGTGTCTCAATCAGGAAACTCAGCCGCAATTTCAGTGTTTATACATGCAGAATTTGCTTCTGATTTTCAGATGGATGTTTAAAGTGTAGTCTTCCCTAGAACTACAGGTGTTAACATGGAAACACAAAACACCAGTACTGCTGGGAAAGGCAAGGAAAGCGAGCGTCCAGCCTGCAGGGAGAACAACACATGTCACGTGCTGTCCACTCAGGACAGGGTTCACAGTAGCTCATTCTGCTCACTCCTGACCAGATGGAATTTTGAGTAAGTGACCTTGAGATGAAAGACTGTCTGTCCTTGGAGGAAAAGAGATAAAAATTTCGCAGTATTAAAAAACCATTCCTTAAAATGGGAACTCTAATTAAAAGTCTGTATTTCTTTCATTTTTCTAAATTTCCAAGCACCACAATGAGGTGGCTATAGAGACATGTTTGAAAATCCAGCAGTTTGTCTCAGCTCACTGCAGATTTATCTGTCCAGTTTACCAGTGCTCTGAGGAAGACTGACGTTCCCGGTGTAGCCATCTCCAGGTCACTGTGCAAGGAGCTGTCTCTCTGGGCAGTGCTGCTTCAGCAGGCCTTCTACTCTTTACCTAACTTATTTAAAATGGACAATAAAAGTTTTCTTTAATTAGCTACTGGTGTGCATTAACATGATCATGATTAAACCATAAAAACCAACTGTACATAACTCTGGTCCCCTGTTCCATATGTTTTGAATTACTCTGTTTGAAAATGTACTTTGCGTCCCTTTTAAAAGTTCGACCTTCTGCTTGCAGAGAATTAAATGCATATTACTGTAGTGAAGAAGATAATGTTTCAGACCTCCAGGCATATATTAAACACACTGGCAGCACTTGAGACAAAATGCTTTACTTATTAGATACTTCCTATTCTAAACAGTGTCATCAAAGGCTAAAAACAAAATCCATATAAAAGCTGCACAATGCTTCCACACAGAACCTGTGCCAAAATCCCCGTACTTTCCAACTAATGAGGAAAGGATGTGTAGTC